TTTCTTCTAGGAATCTAATATGTTTAGGTAAAGGTTAATAGTCTGAGGGCTGAGCCCCTTGGAACAAATAGAGACTGCAACTGCAATATTTGAAAGGACAATCCTTTTGGCCATTGCTACCATTGAGTTATTGGGTGCACCGTAATTTTAGCTGCAACAGAGCTCGTGTTGAGAGAGCGACAGAGTTCTCATGCATTGAATATTTAGCCGTCTTATTTAAAGTTTAGGACAACACAATGGAGACTATAAACTCCATTTGTTGAATTATTTAACGTACAATACCATACTAGGGTTCAACTCCTACAATGACAACAGTGGCCCAATGGTTCTCCTTTTCAATTTATGTAGCTGTAGTCTGCGCTGGTGTGCCAACCAACTCGGGCCAAGAAGTCTTAACTGAATAAGCACACAAAAACTTGTATTAGAATATATACTATATTATCTCCTTAGCATTGAAACTGGAAAAGAAATCTTAGCAATAGAACTTGAACTCTTTACCTGTAGCAAGAATTGATGCCATGCATCCTCGGTGATTATTTTTTTTCCTCGGCTTCGTTTGCATGAATAGGAGCAGGAGCGGCCCAAGGCAAATTGACGTCCTTGGCAAAATTCTTGTATGAGACCGCATTATATTGTGATGATAATATATGATATTATTTATATAGTTATTTAGATATCAAACTTTGTTTGTTTAAAATTTAATTTTTTACTATTTGAGATGAAATAATACTTTTTAAACTTTTATATTTAATTTGCTTTGACATATCATTTTAACTAATGACATTCATTCATTTCAAGGGCTAATAGTTAGTATAATAGGAAGAAAACGATTTATTAGATTTTTATTAGTGTAATTATTGACAATGAAAAAATTTATGAATAATAAATTTCAAGTCTCGTACCCAACACTTAAGTAATTTTAATGTTGTCACTGTCAATGAAAAGGGGTCCTCAACAAACTCAATTTAGATTTAAACTAATTTTACTTATCAAAAGACTATCAAATAATAGAATAACCAACAAATAAATAAATTCACTTGATTAAACGTCGATCTAAAACTTTTTCTTGGGCCCTAAAAATAAAATTAGACCTAATTGCACATAAATTAAACATCCCTACAAACAAATTTAAATTTAATTAAATCCGAATCTAAAACAATTTTTAGGCCCTAGGCGAAGGTTTCAGCTACTTATGCATTAGACCAGCTTTGAATAAGAGACAGTTTTGTTTAGGATATCGAAATACCACTTTCCAGTATTTTTTTTCACAAATTTTCTGGAGGAAAATTCATTAAATCACAGGTAAAGGTTTTCTAGTTTATTGTTTTTTTTTTATTTTTTTATTTTTTATAGTATTTTGTCATTTTTTAAATCAAAGGTTTCAAATCATCTAAATCAAAACTGATTGTCCGGATTAGAAAGTTCGGCTATCATACAATGAATTCCAGACACAAAGACAAATGATTTATCTAACTTTGAACTTTTAACCTTTAACCCTTTAACTTTTACGTTTTAACATAACCATCCATGACCAATGAAAAGGACATACATGAACCAAATCACATCTGATTTTACCATGACCCCATCCTCGATTGTCATCTGTTGGCTGCATTGATGACGGACTGAGTTAAACATGTGTAATAATTGGGATCCAATTATGGTACAATATTGTTTTCTTTTCTAAACAAAAAAATGTATAAAGTTCTTTTATTTTGTTATATCACCATAATTTATTATTTTCAAGGTCAATGGTTTTAAATAAATCAATTCTTCATTGGAATCTAATTCTCGTAATTGAATGAGAAGATATTATGGATATAAATATGTTTCTTAAATTTGCTTATCAAATGTTGTAATTCAAATAAGGTGTAAAAATATCCAACATTGAATGTTTGGTGGAAATTAGTAGATCCCACTGATCCAACTACCCACGCCGATTTCAAATACAAAATTAGGTAAATGATTTGGTAAGTATAACATTTCTAAAGCGTTAAGTTATTAAACTCGTCCGACCCTGTGTATGTCCTCAGTGACTCATTAGTGATCTGATATGGGTTGGATTTGGATCATGTTTACAAGAGACCCGATAGAACTTGGTTAAATCGGACTAGGTTATACCACTTCATGTAATACCAAGCCGAATAACCCTAGCAAAAGACAAAGAATTTTACAGAATCTTCACCTTTTGTGTAGGATCTGAGCATTGCTGTCTTAGATGTATTATGGAGATAATTTGATATTTTTACATGTGTTTTTAGTTGATGAATTCTACGTAAAGTCAAGCAGAGTTATTACTATTGTTACTACTAGTAATTATTTATTTTTATTTTTATAATTTGATCAACCAATCTCGCTAGTTAACCCAATGGTCGAGCCAGTGAACCAATCTCTTAGACGGGTTGGTGTATGGGCCAAGTTTAATAAGTTATTAATTTGCTAGTATGACTCGTGAATCTAACTAAGAGATTTAACAAAGGTCCATGAGTAAAACTTTTCTTTGTAATAATCGAAGTCTCACAGACGATAAATTGGACCTAGTACTTGTGGCTATGAAAAGCATAGGATAGTACAAAGTTAGGCTGCATTGCTGAAAGACAAATGCATGAAATTCTCGTGCAATCTCCATGAGTTAAAATAGGTGTAATAATCTTACCCAGCCAAAAAAAAAAAACAGGTTTAGTAATCACATGCAAACTGTAAACGAATTCTAATTTCTTCTAGTAATCACATCATCGTAATGTATTATGAAGGACTGAAAAGAAACTACTAGCTTTGGGTTTAAGTTCCAAATATATATATATTGAGCATTTTTTTTATTGAACTCCTCTTAACTCACAGCAAGTAGTATTAGAGTCATTCTCCTAATTGAGTATTGTCACTCTATAAATATGTTAGGGAGTATTGTCCCTAGCATCACACAGATATCTGTAAAAGACTCTATCGTACCTATGTCGAGACCGAAATTAAAGATCTCACCGCATACTCTGAGCTAAAGAGTAATTTTGGTGAGCGTAGCTGTGAAGACTTGAACTCAAGTATTGAAAAAGAAAATTTAAGTTCTTACCCATTGGATCATTCTAAACTAAATAATTCTTTTTTATTTGCATTTTATGCACAAGTATACTAAAAATAGTCACAAATATGGAAAAATGCCCACAAAAGTGATAATTTTTTTTGCATGTAAGAAAAGTTATAAAAATAGTTACCACAAATATTGTAAAAACATCTACAATAGTGGTAAAAATACCAACAAAAATTATAAATCACCTACAAAAGTGAAACTTTTTAATTTTAAAATAACTCACAAAAATTATAAAAATACTGTTTAAGCTAATACATTTTAGTAGTATGATACCAACCTTTTTTATCGGTGCCGTACTCAAATCCATGAAAATGACATAAATGAACCAAATCACATCCGATATTACAATAACCCAGCCTCGTTTGTCATTTGTTGGCTGCGTTGATGACAGACAGGTTCATGAAATTTTCCTAAAGGATTGAGTTAAACATGTGTAATAATTGGGATCCAATAATGGTATCATATTTCTTTTCTTTTTTAAATAAAAAAATGTATAAAATTCTCTTATTTTATTATATCACTGTAATTTATTATTTTCAAGGTCAAGGTCAATGGTTATAAATAAATTAATTTTCAACTGAACGAGAGAATATAATGGATAAAATTGTGTTTCTTAAATTTGTTTATCAAATGTTGTATTTCAAATATCAAAATTTCATACCTTGAATGTTTGGTGAAAGTATATGACAGATTTATCTCTCATGAATATTTTAGTTCCAGCGTGGATGATCTGTATTTGACCAGACTGGAGGGCAGATTACTCGAGGTGCACGTAAACTGCCTCAAACACCCCTAACTGTTGAATTAAAAAAAAAAAATTAGTAGACCCGTTAATCCAACCATTCACACTGATTTGGAATATAAAATTTGATAAATGATTTAATAAGCATAGCATTGTTAGAGTGTGAGGTTATTAGACCCGCCCGACCCAACCCAGTGACTCATCGGTGATTCTATATGGGTTGGATTCATACTTAAATCATTTTTATAAGAGACCGGTTAAAATTTGGTTAAAAGTTTCCGGAATATCCCTCCCCCAATCTCTCTATGCAAAGTGCACACAAAAGTATAGTATTTTGTAGTTTTAAAATTTTACAGCATAGTTATTACTATTGTTACTACTAGTATTTGTAGAATTCTATGTAGTTTGGGTCTTCTTGAAGACATGTGTAACTGGTTTTCTTACGGTAGGAGTAGAAATAGTTGTCTAGTAAGAATTTTATTTATATGGTAATCTTTAAAGGCTGCTCGTAGCCACTTGTATTCTTTGCGTCAAGTTCTATATGGCGAGTTACTTGATCCATGCAAGAATTTATTTATTTTTTGATGTATAATTGGTTGTAATTGTACAAGCTCATTTTAATGAAGGTTTAATATTTGGAAATAGATGATGTAGATGCGGGCTAAGTTGCAATTGAATTGAAGATTAATGAAATTTGTACTTGAATCCTACGTTTGAGGCAAACAAAGGAGTGACTGCTAGTATTTGCAAACTCTTTTTTATATACGCGATCAAAGAGCAAGAAAATCATCTTCAAACCTAGTTTTGCATACAAATTTGAGAAAAGTCAAAACTAGAACAACATGGTTGCTGATATCAAAATGTTTATGTGTATACATACATGAAATTGGAATGGAAATGAGAAGAAAAAATGCAGAGACATGCGTTTGGAGTCCAAGAAGATTAAAAATCGAGAGAGGGAGATAGAGGAGAATAGAGATCTACAGAGAGAGTTGATTAACAAAGAAAGAACATTGTAAACGCCACTTATTGAGCGGTCTTATTTAAAGTTTATTACAACACATGGAGACTATAAACTCCATTTGTTGGATTATTTCAAGTACAATATCATACTAGGGTTCAGCTATCCCCAATTATCCTAATATTGGACGATTCAGGCCGACCCTTCAAACCTAATTAACCAGCCCTAGGGACCTTAACAACAGTGCCAGTACAGTCAATAAATATGCGAACTTTGTCGAGCCTAAGGTCTCTGGTGGTGGGACATTTCTGATCCAAAATGATAACATTGAGCCAAGGCTGCTCCTTTTCAATTTGTGTAGCTGCGGTCTGTGCCGGCTTCCCAACCAACTCAGGCCATGAAGGTCTATCTGAATAAACACAAAAACTTGTATCAGAACACTATATATTATCTCCTTAGCATTGAAACTCTAAAAGTAATCTTCGCAATAGAACTTGTATTCTTTACCTGCAGCAAGAATTGATTCCATCCTCAATGTTATGCTTTTACCTTAGCTTACTTTGTGATTGATATGCAAAAGGCTGTGATGAAATGGAATTTATAGACCAACAATCTAGTAGCTTGTGGCTTTGTTTGCATGGAAAGGAGACACATCTAGTTATATTATTAAAATATTATTTTTTGGGATCATACCTTCACTTTTCATCAAATAAACACGACTCACGTGGGAAGTTTATTATTTTATTAGTTTTAACTACTTTATCATTTTTGCAATCAAAAGTTACAAATCAACTAGGTCAAAATTAATGATCCGGATCCCATGAGAAAAGATAAGGCTGGTGGCTCACCACGGCTAAATATTGAAACCAACGGTGATATCATATTTATAATACTGACATGATATCACCGATCAATAACAAAATATCATGTGGACAAGGTAAATCTTACTCAAATAATTATTTCTTTTTCTTTTTTCAATTTTCTGATTTGGGCAACTCCTATTCTTGTTTAAATGAGGTATTTTTCTGGCAAAAAAAATTTGTTACCGTACTGAACGTTAATACTCTTAAAGATAAGGTTATAACTTTCAAAAATAAAATTATTATTGCTTGAGATAATTCATGATTGATTATGATATGTTGTGATCGATGATGAATTACTTCCATCAATTGTATAACTTCTCCTTTTTGGGTTTTAATTTCTCCTTTAAAAGTTATAATTTTAAGGATCGATGGCAACATTTTGGAATTGATAGTATGTTTTACAGTTATAATTGACAAAAAAAAATTATAAATTTCGGTACATCATCCATCTTCTGTTCCATGACCAGGAGCAGAGGGAGAGTGGGGCCAGCGGGGTCAATTGTCCCCATTAAAATTTTAAAAATTTACAGGGAAACATGGATTGATAACTTTACAGATGAAAGAGAAAAATAGAAGTATAGCAAAGGTGCATGAGTAAAACATGTGTATATAGTAATTAAAGTCTCACAGACGGTAGACAGTGCCAAATAGTTGTGGCTATTTAAAGCAAAGGATAGTACAAAGTTAGGCAGCATTGATGAAAGACGAATCCATGAAATTCTCGTGCAATCTCCATGAGTTAAAATAGGTGTAATAATCTGACCCTGAAAAAAAAAAAAGGAGGTTTAGTAATCACGTGCAAACCATTTAAAAGAATTCTAATTTCTTCTAATAATCACATGATCGTAATGAAGCATGAAAGACTGAAAAGAAACTAGCTTTTGGTTTAAGTTCCAAATATATATATTGAGCATTTTTTTTTTTATTAAACTCCTCTTATCTCACAAGAATTAGTATTACAGTCATTCTCTTAATTGAGAAAATTTATATGCTGATCGATCGCTCTATAAATCTATTTGGGAGTAATGTTTTGGGACAACGCATAGATATTTACAAGAAATTCTCTCGTACCTACGTTGAGACCAAAAATAAAAGTCTCACCGCAGACTCTGAGCTGAAGAGTAAATTTGACCTCACAAAGATATCGTAACTATGAAAATTTGAACCCAACTATTGAATGTGAAAATTTAAGTCCTTATTCGTTGGATCATTTTAAACTAACTAAATACTTTAAATTTGTATTTTATGCACAAGTATACTAAGTTGAGGGAGATGATGTGACATTGGGGGATTTGGTTTTTGGTACTAGCAATTCAGAATGTGTCTTTCTGAGCTAACCAATCGTAAGAACTGTGATAATGATGTCACTGCGGTCAATCCTAATTGTAACCCTATTGCACCTAATATCTAGGGTAACGTGACAAGTCACATACACAACGATAATAGCAATCAATGAATTTTCCCTTTCAATTATTGCAGCCGCATCCTATGCTCATGCCCCAACAAGCCCAGGCCATGAATTCTTACCTGAATCATTAAGTACAAGAAAAAGTATTAGTCGAATTATGTTATTATATTATCATCTTAGAAATTCTAAAAATATTCTTAGCAACAGAACTTAGAAAAGACAAATTATAGACATATCCCATGTGTCGCGGATTTTCCTTAGCTTGCCTTGTGATTGATATGGTCTGGCTGTGATGAAATGAGTATATTTATAGATAAACATTCCCTGACAGCTTTACAGATGAAAGAGAAAAATAGAAGAATAGCTAAGGTTTATGAGTCAAACATGCATGTGCAAATAGAAGAATAGCTTGGATAAATTTCATTAATACTCACTGAATTTAAGTCATACTTTTTTGACACTCTAATTTCTGAAATATTATTATATACCCTTTCAATTTTTGTCTGCTAATAGATTTAACATAATATGTAATTTTATTAGAACTCCCATTTTATTTAATTACCTTTACTCAAGTTAATACAAAATTAATCTATAATTTTGTCAAATTAACATAAAATTGACATTTAATTTTTTTGATTAATGTTCAATTTCATCAAATTAGCACCAAATTTTGCCAAATCAACATACACATTCATCAAATTAACATTCAATTCATCTAATTAATATTTAATTTTATTAAATTAATACTAAATTATTATTCAATTTCATGAAATTAAAACCAAATTAACATTAAATTTTATCAAAACCACATTAACTTTCATCAAATTAACTATAAAATTAATATTCAATTTGATCAAATTAACACCAAATTAATACAAAATTTTATCAAATTAGCATTAAAGTGATTTTAAATTTTATAAAATTATCATTTTATTTTAGCAAACTAATATTCAATCTCATCAAATCGATATTCAATTTTATTAAATTCACACCAAATTAACCATAAATTAACATTTAATTTCGGTCCGTAGTGTTCTCCTTACTTCACTTTTCATGGACTGTCTTTTTTTTTTTTTGGGTCAAGGTGTCTGTGTTAGTTTACGTATATTTTGACTAATTCTTTTTTCGATCCAATCAAATGTAATTCGTCTATTTCGGGACAGAATTATATGAGAGATAAAATAAAATTGATGTGATTGAGGTGGTTAAGTGTATGCTTTAATCTAATTGTGACCCGTAATGGGAGTGCCCATTAAATTTCATTATAAATAACAAGTTAGGTCTCCTCTCTACTTCATAACCCTAAATTGGCTTGTCCTATTAAAAGCTGTTTATTGCTTTGAAGAAGGAGATGAAAACCTTGCCCTTTTATAAAAGAAATTTGGAGATCAAGTATCATGTTTCATATAAGTATGTTATAAACCTTGTAATTTAGGTGTTGTAAATTTCATATACAAATCATTAACATTTCTTAAACTCAAGCAATTGTACGGGAAATTTATGGTCGTCCTCTTGCTTTTCAAAGCGATAACCACAAATATTTGTTCTGCACGACAATTGAAATGTTTCATGTTTAACTCAATCCTATATATTTCATGTAAATTTCTCGCTGTCTGTCAACTAGAACGTTCAGATAACTTACAAAGCTGTTTGTATAAGAATTTTGATGGTGGCAATTAAACATCAGCTAAGTAGAAAGTTCAAAAGAAAGCCAACCACAAGTGTTGTTGGTCTATAAATACCTATTTCATTACAACATGTGCTAATCCATCACAAAGTACACGGAGAGGAAGGCATTAGAGTTTCGAGATAAATTACACTAGTTCCATTACCAAGTATACTTTTTCATCTTTTTCTTTTTTCTTTTTTTCTTTTTTTCTTTTTTGCAGGTACTTTTCAAGTTTCAATGTTAAGCAAATGATATAGGTAAGACAAATTATGTGTTGGCCTCATTAACACCCTTATCTCATTTTACCCTTCGAACTATAATCTTGGACACCACTCTGTCCCTCAACTACAAAGTTTCTCATATCGTCTCCTCAACTATCAACTTTCTCATACTTTACTTTTAACCATAGTCACTGATTTAATATTATCCCAATTTTAGACACTAAAAAAATATGTGGATTTGTTTTCTATCCCAAATATGGTGGAAGTTTAATTTCAAGGTTGTGTAAAATTATTTTAAATAATTGAGGAGATAATATGTGAAAATTTATAGTTGTGGGGGTAATGTGACCAAGTTGAGAGGATCGATGCATAATTATTTTTGTAGGAATCTGATATGTTTATGTACGAGTTTATGGTTCAAGGACTGAGCCCCTTGGAACAAAGTAGAGACTGCAACTGCAATATTTGAAAAGGACAATCATTTTGGCCATTGCTACCATTGAGTTATTGGGTGCACCGTGATTTTAGCTGCAATAGAGTTCATGTTGAGAGAGAGAGAGAGAGAGAGATTAAAAATATATAAGTTCACACTTATAAATACATCTTATTTAAGGTTGAGTACAACAGATGGAGACCACATAAACTCCACTTATGGGATTATCAATGTCACTCATTTAGCCGTCTTATTTAAAGTTTAGTACAACACAATGGAGACCATAAACTCAATTTGTTGAATTAATTAACGTACAATGTCATACTAAGGTTCAACTCCTCTCCAATTTTCTACAAACAACCGTGCCATTGCAGTCATTAAATACACGAACCCTATCAACCTTATAATCGCGAGGGAGGGGCCATCCATCAGACATAATGATAACAGTGGCCCAAGGGTTCTCCTTTTCAATTTGTGTAGCTACAGTCTGTGCTAGCATGCCATCCAACTCAGGCCAAGAAGTCTTAACTGAATAAGCACACAAAAACTTGTATCAGAATATATATTATATTATCTCCTGAGCATTGAAACTGTAAAAGTAATCTTAGCAATAGAACTTGAACTCTTTACCTGTAGCAAGAATTGATGCCAAGCATCCTCTGTTATATTATTTTTCCTTTGGCTTACTTTGTGATTGATATGCAAAAGGCTGTGATAAAATGAAAATTTGTAAACCACCAACCTCATAACAACAATTTAATTTGAGGGTGTTGGCAAAATTCTTGTATGAGTCCCTATTTTAATTTTTTTTACTTATTTACCATTCCTTAAATTATTTGTAGTTTTTGTTCTCTCCATCTCTTTCTCTCTCTCCTATTTTATCTCCATCTCTCTCTCTTACTCTCTCATTATCTCTCCCCTATTTTCTCTTCATC